TTTGTTCTATATACCATAGACTTTTCCTTGCAGCAGTCATCTTCAAGTTAATGTGTTTATCACTAGCATTAAAGTGTTACTAAACCCACAACAGTAAACTCAGTCTGTATATGCAGTAAACCATGCTTGCTATACTCACTGCAATGTAAGGGGTTAATCCTCTGCATTGTGTAAAAATGCTGTTTGATCCTGGCTTCTCTGATCCTCCCCTTCTTCCAGTGTCCCACTCTTATCTCCTGATAAGACATATCGTGTGGAGTCACTCTGCACTCTCAGTTTGGTGTGTATTGCTAGAGTTTTGTTTTTCCTGGGAGGCTGCATGTGATCATCACAAGGCCAATCAGCACTGTCCAGACAGAGGTCAGGGGTTCTGCATCCTCCTAGACCAAAATGAAAACTCCTTCTACAAGCTTTAACCAATGCTCAGCTGGACACAGATAGAGGTCACAAGACTGCTCTAACTGCTGATGAGAAAAAGTATTTAGCTGTTTACTATTTACTAAAATAATTACACTTCCATGTTTTGTGTCCTGTGGGAGACCAGATATAGTGAATGCAGGGTCCTGGGTTTAGTAACACCTTAACTAACATATTTATACCAGCATTTTAACCTCCAGTGGATTGCCCTAGCACATTATCAACTTGAGCTGGTGACATGTTTACTGCATAACTGGTCACCCTGTGAGGTACACTCTGGCCCACCAGGACAGCTCTATAGTTGTCCCAGGAAACCCCTAGCTCCAACACTGTGGGCTCCTGGAAGGTTTCCGGAGACATTGCACCCAACACTGTCACTGGGGGAAATGGCACACATTCTTTAGTGGTCACCCCATCACATCTGTCTCAGCACAGGGGTCACTCCCACTTCACAGGGGACAGTCTCACAGCCAGTCTTCTCATTTTATCAGTCTTACCCATCCATGTAACGGTTGTGCCATCTTCTTTGGGTTGACTACTCCACACAAGTATGAAACCACAGGTTTCTCATGCTCTCTGGCATCACCTGCAGGCCAAATAAAATGTTTGCCACTTTTTTAAGGGGCATCAACAGACATATGTACACAAACACCAGGGCAAGTAACCAAACCGCTGCTCTGCTTGAATACTTCGTACAGCATCCCGAGATAGAGGACACTTGGCAACAGTAGGCCCCCACTCCATGCACTAATCCTGCCACTATGCCTTATCGGAATTCTTCATGTACAATCTTTCTTCATTCTGAAGCACACTCACATCTTTCTGGGATGTTTGAGCCGTATTTCCTATGGAGCATTTGTCTCCTGACTTTTTCCATTTGCTATGGGAGGCAGTCTTCCCCCCCAACTGAGGCTTACTGGCTTTCATTGTCATGGTGGATCTTTTCCATTATCAGGATTTCATTTTTAATTTTGTTGCAGTCACTGCAAACTCCGCTCATCACCAAGTAGGCGACCTGATACTTTACCCCCAACAGAGACAATAGCAGTTCTCACTCACGTTCTTTGGGCTATGCTTTCCATGTGGCAACCATTTTGTCAGGAAGCCCTTGACCTCCTCAGTAGACAGCATAGGCTGTATGATGTTAGATGCCATAATCTCAACCTTGGTGCCTTGGGTAACAGCAAGAATTTCCTGCTTTGGTGCCACTGCTGTTGTTTTTCACCACACTACTTAGCTCTTTTCGTAGCTGGGATCACTGCTGCAATGTTCTACTTACACAAGTTCACCATGGACTCAAAAACTGCTGCTCTTTGCTTAGGCATGTGTGGCATTTGCCCAGGTGAGGACATCCCCTCCAGCCACAGAGCTTTTTCTCTCAATTTTCCTCTCTTTATGCTTTTTGACTCATCCTCACAGTCACTTCACTTCACAGATCAACAAAATGCCACACTGTTTCCTTAAGGCTTTTATCTTCCAGGTACACCTTGTGCTGCACATAATGCACAGTTGCACTGTTCACTGGTTCTTAACCACAGAGCACAAACAGTTCCTGAATTTAACTCCGGAAACTACACCGCTTGCCCACATTCTCCACCACTTGTGATACTGTTGAGGAACTTTAGCTAAAGTGTAGTGCTGCCCAGTGAGTCAATGGCAGTAAGAACTGTGGTCCTGTTGTGGTCTTTGAGATAATTCATTTAAATAAATCGGGCAGTGTCCAACTCCCGTATGCAATATATTGCAGTGCCTCCAGACGATAAATATGGCAAATAACTTAATTAATAATCCAAGAATATACTGTAGACACCTTAATAATTTATCACCACACTGTACTTTTCTTTGAGTTCTTTTCACCAATGTGATTTCTTACCATATACACAAATATTGCCCATTTGATAAATAATTTATTTATGTATTAACCTCCCTGGCAGTATTCCCGAGTGTAGCTCCGGGTAAAGTTTCAGTACCACAAGCGGTAACTCCGAGCTACCATGCGGCGCTACTCCGCGATCCCTCGATCACTTACCTTGTCCTGCTCTCCCGCGATGTCCCTCCTGCAGTGTCCCCAGCAATGTAATCTGTCTTCTGGGTTCTGTCCCCTGCGAGCGTCGGGATGTACGGGGACGGAACGGCGGGAAATTTGAAAATGACAAAAAGTGACATTCACTAAAATCACATAGTAAAACATTACTGTATCAAACTATTTCACATACATTTTGTCCCGAGTGCTTTGTCCTGTGCTCTGCCTGCATTTTTACGGTTCTTATTGCCTGGAAACTGAGAAATGGCATCCAAAAAGCGTCCCTTTAGGTCAAAGGTAGTTTTAGACCAGCTAGAGAACAGCGATAGTAAATCAGAACCACTTGCAGAATTGAGTGATAATGATTTGTGGGGAAATTCAGCATCAGACACTGAAAACAATTTTGCAACTTTGCTCAGCGGTGTGCGAACTTGGCGCTATATATTTCAAATTTCAGTGTTTTTGGCTTGATTATATTATTGAATTAAATGTATTATTATATTATTATTTTTTATGAATATTTATTAAATTATAATTTATGATTTTGTGTTTCAAGTTTTATCCTACTCGGGATGTTTACTAGACTCTTGTTCGGACAGATTTCAGTGAGTTATTCCTAAGAATTACAGGCCTACAATATAAAACGACAAATTTCCATGCAAAATAATGGTACCGCTTTCAGCACAAAAATCTGAAATAATCATACCGCCAGGGAGGTTAATACAAATGGAACTACTGGTGATGAGTATTGCTTACACACAATCAAAAATATATCACAATACTCTCTATGGGCTTAAAACACAAAATATATATCACCACAATGATAAAACAGTTCTTAGAGTGGTTAGTACTTAATAGTTAGTGCTCAAGATATCATTTCCAATTCCTGCGGCCGAAGGGAATTAGGAAAATATTCCTGATAAAATATGCACTGCAAAACACTTCAGATAGGTTAGAATGCAATACAATATCAGTACCCAAAATAGTTAAAGCAATTTTTAGTCAACCAATCTCCCTACACCATACAATTTATGTATCTATGCACAATCTCAATATAACTAGCACACTAGAATTACGATTAAGGTTCTAGTCAATTTTAAAAGTATAAAAATTATGGTATTTTGATACAATTCTCACCACTCCCAGAATTAGGTTCTCTGAGATCTTCCGGTGAGATTACAGTTGCGGGAAAAATGTCTTTCGTCAGCAATGAGTAAAAATTGGATTACCAGCAAAAAGTTCCTCTTTGGTGGAGATAGCTTCTTTTAAAAATCAGTTCTTCAAAATTAGATTTTCAAAAATAGAGTGGTTCTTCAGATCGTTGGTCTTCAAAAATAGCAGGTTTTCAAAAATAGTTTCAGCAGACAAAATTTCAAGGTAAGTTTCTGTTCTTGTAGATTTTTCAAAGTATAGCAGAGTATATCTCAGGTATCAGAGTATTTTCAGCGTTTATTTTTCCAGCTTTCCCTCTTTTTCCTGTCTCACATATATATAGATATATATATATATATATATTAAATGTCCATTGTCTTATAAGACCTCCCATGGTATTTGACGATTGGACGGTCAGAATGCCGTTTATTCTGGAAGTTCTTTACCTGTCCATTGGGGGCAGTCAAGTTCCATGAATGAAATGGTGATCCCTAGGGATGATGAAGGTTCTATTCATAAAATTATGTGTCCTACTGAGATATGAAAGTGGCTTTTCTCAATATCTCTTTTAGATAAGGTCTATACATATATATATATATATTAGTTGACTTAGTGGCTCATCTTCCTTATGTGTGAGTTGTATCTTGATGTTTAACCTTTGTCCTGAAAATGGTAGATCTTCTTATAACATTTCCATAATTTGTTATGGCATTAAATCAGATCTTGCGCGTTTTACTCGTCCTTCATGTTATATATGTCATATCTCTCTTTATATCCTGATGGAGGTACATATATGTTGTTTGCATTTGTTTTGAAATATAGTTTCCCCCAAATCACAATCCATCTCATATGTCCTCATGACTTAATGATCCTTTTGTAGTTTCCAACTTTATTAACCTCCCTGGCGGTATGATTATTTCAGATTTTTGGTGCTGAAAGCGGTACCATTATTTTGCATGGAAATTTGGCGTTTTATATTGTAGGAATATAAGTTTTAGGAATAACTCACTGAAATCTGTCCGAACAAGAGTCTAGTAAACATCCCGGGTAGGATAAAACTTGAAACACAAAATCATAAATTATAATTTAATAAATAATCATAAAAAATAATAATAATACATTTAATTTCAATAATATAATCAAACCAAAAACACTGAAATTTGAAATATAGCGCCAATTTCGCACATCACTGAGCAAAGTCGCAAAATCGTTTTCAGTGTCTGATGACGAGTTTTCCCACGAATCATTATCATTCAATTCGGCAAGTGGTTCTGATTTACTATCGCTGTTCTCAAACCGCTTTTGACCTAAAGGGACGCTTTTTGGACGCCATGGACGTTTCTCAGTTTCCAGGCAGAAAGAACAGTAAAAATGCAGGCAGGGCACAGGACAAAGCACTTGGGACAAAATGTATGTGAAATGGTTTGATACAGTAATGTTTTACTATGTGATTTTAGTGAATGTCACTTTTTGTCATTTTCAAATTTTCCCCGTCGTTCCGCTCCCCATACATCCCGAGGGACGGAACCCAGATGAAAGATGCCGGCATCCGCCGGATTACATTGCCGGGGACACTGCAGGAGGGACATCGCGGGAGCGCAGGACAAGGTAAGTGATCGAGGGATCGCGGAACAGCGCCGCATGGTAAGCCCAAGTGTAGCTCGGGGTTACCGCTTGTGGTACTGAAACTTTACCCCGAGCTACACTCGGGAATACCGCCAGGGAGGCTACGTTGACCTCAGTGTCCTCGTATATCCATATGGTGTGATGGATATTTCAGTTGAAGTTTATGCCAGTCTTCAATTTAAATCCAGTTTTTTCTCAAGAATTGAGTGCAAAGTTCATGGATTAGGTGAGTTTAGGAAGTGTATATTGTCTTATGTAATTATGGTAAACACTTATTTTTTCCTTAGACATATAACTCATTTAAAACCGATGTGTGTGGATTCCTGGCATAGCCTGATCTCCTCTTCTGAATAGGCATTTGTGACATCCTCGATGGCTTGCTTGGCTAGTAAATATTCTGCAAGGCCTTACGTTTTTCTCTCAGGTCTCACAAAGCTGTATGTAAAGAAGACAGTCTCCTACAATTATCATTTATGACTCTCTTTTGTCTACCTCAGCTCTTTCACAAGGTTGGATGTTATTTGGCTTCATTGTATTTCAAGCAGGTCTTTTCCATTCGATCTTGTTTGAAATGGTTTCCTGAACAGGTCATACTTAGATTTTACAAAACTGTCTGACAGATAACAGCTGGCCTCATAACTATCTTTTGAGGAATAATTTTTCTTTTAATAATTTCTGAGTCAAAATCACTACAGTCCAGAACTTGTCAGCCCACTTTTATTTAAAAAATAAAGCCCTACACAAGACAGCTGCCCTCAAAGGGTTTATCACCATTAAAATCATGAACTGGAAAAAATGATACAAGGTCTCTTGGCTTTTCCTTGCAGTAACACTGTCCAGGCCTTTTTCCTTGTTCTTTAGACTCTTTCACACAACACCATCTCTCTGTTCATGTGCCTCTCTCTCAGCTTGCCCAGCTCTCCGGCTGTCTCAACTCTCTGATGCAGGCCATACATGGTTCGAATTCCGAACAATTTTTTTGTCTGAAAATCGAAACGTCATTCGTTCTGTAATCTGACAGGTGGACACCAATGATTTCGCAAATCGGTCCATTTTTCATGAATTTTCCAGCATGCCCGATAAACGAAATGGGGAGGAACCATGAAAATCAGCCTCAATGCCATTGCCCCACTAACAGAGCGGAAAATCGGGCAATTATTCTTAGGTCCAATTTTTGTATGAAAATCGTTCGGAATTCAAACCATGTATGGCCTGCATAAGTTACCTCAAGTCACTCTAGACTTGCTCAGTCATCTCGAATCTCTCAGAGCAGATTCACACCAGGTGTGGTGGAACTGTGCTAGGCTAGTGCTGTCCGACTACAAGCCAAGGCAAAATGCTTTGTGTCCTATGAAAAATGGTCCTCTGAAAAAGGTATGGCAGGCCATACTTTTTTTCCAGTACAATGCAATCCATGTTGTGACATTTCAATAAATTTGATTTAGGAAAGATAAAAGGAACAGTGCAATGTGGCACGATCTCACTGCACCCACAGCAAACACCAACCTTGCACTTTCGCACTACATATAGACCCTCTGTACACACAGTATATCTTATACATTCAGTACATCCTTTATATAGATTCCCCTATAGCCACTCTGCCATAAAGCCCAGATTGGTGGAGGGCTGTAGTAAGGGTTGTCCTTCTGGAACTTTGTCCCATCTCCACACAGGACCTCTGGAGCTCAGAGTGACCATTGGGTTCTTGGTCACCTCTTACTAAGGCCCTTCTCCCCTGATTACTGTTTGGCTAGGTGACCAGCCCTTGGAAGAGTCTTAGTTGCGCCAAACTTCTTCCATTTGAGCCTTTTGTAGATCTGTGCATTGCAATAATCCTGTCTCGGAGCTCTGCAGGCAGTTCCTTGACCTCATGGCTTTTGTTCTGATAAAGTATGCATTGTCAGCTGTGAGGTCTTTTATAGACAGGTTGTGTGCCTTTCCAAATCATGCACAATCAATTTAATTTACCACAGGTGGACTCCAATCAGGGTGTAGAAACATCTCAGCAACAATGAAAAGAAATGAGAGTACCTGAGCTAAATTGTTGTATCAGGCTGCAACATACCAAAATTGAAAAAAGTGAACGAGGTCTGAATACTTTATGAATGCAGTGTGTGTATGATATATATATATCCAATACATACAGTACATCACATACATGGAATACATATATCTTTTGAAATCATGTATACTGCAGAGCTTACAATTTCGGAGGGTAGACCTACTAGCCAGGCACAAACCTTTACTCTCCACCAGTTGCCCCGCCCAACCTTGCCCAGGTCCGCTTCCAACCCCACTCCCAACCAACGCCCACTTAAAGCTTATGAAATTACATTTTTCTTTAGAATAAAGAGTCCCCAAAATATAAAACTGTATACAGTAATGTATATCCCAGCTCCCCTGTACTCCATTATAGAGATATGACATGTACACAGTAATGTATATCCCAGCTCCCCTGTACTCCATTATAGATGATCATGGGACATGTATACAGTAATCATTACTGTATACATGTCACATCACTATAACGGAGTACAGGGGAGCTGGGATATACATTACTGTATACATGTCATATCACTATAATGGAGTACAGGGGAGCTGGGATATACATACTGTATACATGTCATATCACTAAAATGGAGTACAGGGGAGCTGGGGTATACATTACTCAGTAATGTATATCCCAGCTCCCCTGTACTCTGTTATAGTGATAATGACGTGTATACAGTACTTACTGCTTGAGCCCCCCACGGCGGTGGAGAGGGTGTCTCCTCTCAGCGGAGGAGAGCGGGACCTCTCTTGCACCTGTCCCCTCAGCGGCGGTGCCGAAGAAGCCGGAACTCGGTAATCGGAACTCTGCTTCACGATGAGGCTTGGAGCGCAGCCGCTTCCATCATCTGTGCTCGCTGCTAGAGAATTTCTCCTCGCATTTGGAGAGCGGCTTTTTCTGTATGTATAGTATATACACGTGTGTGTACAGAGAGAACTGGAAGTATAATATTTGTATCTCTCAGTACACACACATACAATATATATTATACATACAATACATTATATATACTGTATACTGTGTGTGTATGTATACTGTATATGTGTGTATATACTATATATATGATATATATATAAATATATATATATATATAAATAATAAATATATCCCCCACTGCATACACACAGTATTATATTATACACCCACACTATATATATTATACATACAGGACATACATATATATAGATCCCTTGTACAAACAATACTATTTTTATACCTAAATTTTATGATACATTTACGTTATATTATGTGTATTTATCTAAAATGTCCTGTATGTATAATATATTTAATACTGTGTGGGGGATATATTTTATATAGGGTATATTTTATATTAATATATTGATCTCCCCTGTATACACAAATTATATTATACATACAGTACACCCTATATATAGATTCCTGATTTATTACAGTATATATTATACATACAGCACATAATATATTTAGATCCCTATTTACATACAGTATATTTTTTTGCCTATATTATACATACATTATTTATTATATAATATATTTATATATATATTATTTTTTATACTGAATGTATAATATAATATACTGTGTGAATTTTATTTTTATAGGGATGTAGCTGGATATAACTTTTATATATAGAAGAACCCAGTTTTACTACACACACACATTTTTATATAATTACAGTACATTTATATATACATATATTCCCCGGTGAACATGTATATTTTATATATTCATAGTTTATTTTTATAGATTTCCCTGTTACACATTTAAATATTATGTATAAAGTACATTTTATATATATATATATATTTATTATTTATACAGGATAAAATTATTTTTTTATGTGCACAGTAATAATTACTTAATACAGATAATTTTATATATAGATCCCCTTTATACAAACAGTATATATCATGACATACATTACATACTATTTGTAGATCCCCTGAATTACACACAGTATATATATTATATACACAGTGCATTTATATATAGATCCCCTGTGACACACAATATTTAATGAAATTACAGTACATTATAAATACTATATGGGGGGATTGTAATTTTTTTATATGGAGTTATAAATTATACATACAGTGCATAATTCTATTACTATATAGATCCCCTGTACACACAGTATTATTTTAATAATACAGTACATAATATATAGAGTTGTAATTAATATTTTTATAACATTTGTGAATTATTTGGGATTACATGGAGTTTTGCATGAATATTATAAAATGGTGCTATATGAAATTATATAAGATATTTTTACAAATATTATATTAAAACACATTATCTATGAATATAATATACTTTACAAAACATTATTTGTTATATGGGGGATTTAAATACATATTTACATGTAAAATTTTATATAAAAAGTTGTGAACCTTTGGATTTAATAACTGGTTAATTATTTTGGGAAAAATAATCTTGAAACTTAAAAACATTTCCTGTTTTGAGATTAGACCTGCACTAAAGATTGGCGTATTTTGGACCACTCCTCTTCACAATACTATTTCATTTGTGCAATATATTGGGATGTTGGTGTGAATGCTCTATAAAAAAGGTCATGCCAAAGCATTTCAATGAGGGTTGAATTCAGGAATCTACTGTACACACATTTTATATAAAGGGATATATTATTCTGTGCTGTTGCAGCCATTGTTTTATGGATTAATTATATATGCTTTGGGTCATTGTCCTGTTGCATCACTTTATCCTCTGCGGGAGCTTCAGTTGGGGGACAGATGGTTTACGTTTTCCTGCATTAATATGTCTTGAAATAAACTTGGAATTCATTTTCCCATCAATGACAATTAAATTTAATTATATCATTTACTGAGGCAATTAAAAGAGCCCCAAACCATGAATGCTCCCTACGCCATGTTTTACAGTGGGGGGATGATTTTGATGTTATGTGCTTGCCTTTTTTTCTCCACACATAGTGTTGTATGTTATTCCAATACAAACTCAATCTTGGTTTTATCTGTCCAAAGTATATTTTGCCAGTAGTGCTGTTAAAAACATCCAGGTGCTCTTTTGCAAACTTCAAATTGCTGCAATATTCTTTTTGGA